TCTTCATACAAAATAAAATTAATATTTTATCCATTATTTTCTTAGCTATGCAGGATTAGCCAGCTATAAAGTTCTGTTTGAAAAGGTAGAACGGAACGATTATAAAATCGTTACAGTGGACAGATTCAGTCTTTAAAGATTACTTGTAGAAAGATAACACCGCGTTCTACTTCAAGAATACTGTAGAAAGCCAACAATGCAGAAGAAAAAGCTTCGATTCGACACTGACTTTTACTTCCCTTTCTGGTTTCTTGGTTTATATGAACCTAACTAATCACAAAGAATGTGAGAACATTTTTTCTTAATCTGCCAGATCTAAAGGCAGCTAGCTTTGAAATGAAGTTGCAAGCATTTGGGTTATACAACGAGATTCGTAAAATACTGGGAAGATCACCAGTGTGGATAATCATAAGAACATGTACGTCTATAGGAAAAATGTATAATTTGCTTGTTCCCGCATGACGCAAAGCACGAGCGAATGAAAAAGAAGAAGAAAAAACTCCGCCTAATAAATTCACTTAAAAGTGAATAAATAAAATCGTGACGTACACCGGGTCCAGATATAAGAAAGAAATGTACAACCAACAACCGAGCGTAGTTTTAGTAGAAAATTTAAATTTTTCAGATTTTTTTTCGAGATTATATTTATATAAGAGCTCCAAGTACTACATACAGATTTATCTCATTATCGCAACGTCTGTTATGAAAGAGCTCTTTCTCCAAGGATAAGATAGGAAGTATCATATACCCTGAGAAGATTAATTATGTTAAAGATACAAATCCCATAGCATAGATAAGACGACTAAGTAAAAACTATATATTGATGATGAGGACACGAAATCTTGAAATGCCCTACAAAACTAGAAAACCAACCGTTACCACTGATTAAATAGAGCTGCAGGATGCATGAAATACGAAATGACACATCGCTAATTACAAAATCTTAATACAAAAGATACAAGCTAAACTGATCATAATCCCTCTAAAGCTTTGGACCCTGATGTGAATGTTGGGCCAGTAATCCGGAAAAGGTCACCAAGGCTCAGTTAGCCAATGAGAACACAAAGACAATCGAAACTGCGACATTCTCAAGATACTTGTTAGAATGGTCAATAATGGCCTTTAAACAAGAGGGAATCCTCAATAGTCGCGGCACCTGAAATTCTTTTAGGCAGGATTAGAGTAAATTAATCTATGAGACCTTTTTCTTCTTCTTCTTTATTAGTTATATTTTTAAGTGCCTGCAATACCAAGCGTGGGGCGCGCGTATATCCAATTCAATTTTATTACTCATCAGGATATTTACCAGCCTACCCTCAAATTGAAATTCTCTTAGGCAGGATTAGAGTAAATTAATCTATGAGACCTTGGGCCTGGTGAAATACATCAATCGAAAGAGTTTGACCTCCTGAGTCCAAGACTGTAATTAGATCCCAAATCGTTGAAGAGATGACAGAGCTATGAGCTAAAAGAAAAAAGAACAACAACAACAACAACAAAATCTCAGAGCCGTTCTATGAGTCGCTATGCCACGGCTAAAAAAAATACAACATAACCAAAGTTTCAGAAATCTGCCTGAATTTCAATGAATGTTAGGTTAGGCCATACTTATAGAAGGGTAGAGCTGACAGTAAGAATACTAAAATCATTAGTTCATAGCTCATATATAGTAGTTTTTTATGCACCTTACGAATACTTAACATATATTTACGTTTAAAATCAAGCCAAAACTACGTGAACTAAATTCACAAGAGCATCAGAGTATGTTTTATATCAAATATACAAGATCCTTTTCGTATAAGATTTTTACGATAGCGCTTTTACAGCTTTGTAGCATGCTCATGAACTTGTTGCGTCAGCGAGGTCACGTGACTATTATCACGCCACCTCTTTCTAAAAATATCCTGTTCCTTCAAGAATACCCTAGCATTTACTAGATATGTGTTAATCTTGTATATATAAGACGTTCACAACGTGACGGGCCAACAGTGTAATGAGTAATTGAATGTATGCGGATAAAATATTGTTGGCCACGTGAGACGTGAGTTATAGCGTTGTTATAGAGCGACTGTTGAAATTAAGTGTATCGTAAAGTTGTATTCGGGAAGAATAAACCAGTTTTATTTAAGAAAGGACTTGTGTCGCTAAAGTTTCGTCGGAACGAATTTACGGAAAATTAACTAACGAACGGAGCCGTAACAAACTTTTTCAATTCATTTTGCATTCCTTGAATTGATATGATTATCTATAACCCGTTTTAGGTTATTAATATCAAGCATTCTCTGAGATTAAGCTGGCATTAAAGGTATACAACACACATATCTGCATACGTATAAATAGTGTCTGGAACCCTCGATTATTTAAAATACACTTTCATTTTAAGTACTGATCTGTTTCGGCAATACTTATTCGACATGTGACCTACGTAAATATAAGAGAAAAGCTTAATAACGAAACACATCACAATTATCTTAAGCATTCAGGTACAGAAACACAACCAGTTAAACATAGCTTAAAATATTACTTTTCCGTAAAATGTACATCAAAATATCCCACCCCCAGTTCTGCTCCAAACAGTCTTTTTAACTGACCCACTCCCAAATCTAAGCACGTATTCTCTTAAGAATCAAAGCGAGCAACACTTCTAAAATGAACAAGCACCTACGCATTTTCTAATGCTCCTCCCTTGTCATGAGTAAGCGTCTGATTTGGGTGGGAAAGGTCAGAGAACTTGGGTTGGAACATCTACTACCCTAGCCATTCTTTCCTATTGTTAGGCCTAATTCCTTAAAATCACAGTGCTCTTTACGACACCAGCATGATTTTATTCGTATTATTTGAGAACGACAGACACACCCAAAGATTGTTTTCTATGTACAGTTAATATCATTGCTTCCAATTGAAAATAGCTAATTTCGTGACTGTCCCATATAACTGCACGCTATGTCCTTGATACAGAAATCGACAATATAGATTGCTGCTTTCCGTGGCCGCACGATTCCGAAACAGCTCGTTATTATAATATATATTTTCTTTCTTGTAATTTTTAGGGAACAGATAAAGAAACGTCGTTACACTTTACTGCATATCTTTGGACATTTGCAGAGGTGAAGAGGTTTCACTTAAGATCTGACGAATGTGTTTTACGTAAACATGAATAATTACTCACATAAGCCTACTTAGATTCAAAAATAAACAATAACATATCTCGCAAAAGTAATGGTTTTAATCAGCGAAGTTGCTTTTTTCTTCAAATTGTTTTGGTAGTTGGGTAGAGAAAAGTTGAACCATTACAAAAATAATCAATCAATAACTAAATCACTAATCCAGGTTTTCACTCATTAGAAGACGTCGAACTTTATGTAGTATCTGATCCTGTGATTTACCGTAATGATAAAACGGTTTAGTTATCTTAATGTAAAGAATAGAAAATACCCCATGACCAACAACTAGCTGGTAGAGGCATACGCCCTTGTGTCAACAGTGAAGTTAATTACAACGACAGCAACTTGATTATGGTGAATTCAAGGAGTTGGCAGCGAACGTTACACGTCGTCACAACTCATTTAACAAATGAAAAAATGACAATACTAGAGAAGTAGCTAAAAAAGACCTATAAAGTGAACAATGTTACGAAGTTGAATTCATTCAGAATGTACTAAAAACAAGCTTCAAAAGATGCAAAGAATTTAGGCAGACTAAAGCGATATATCACACAATAATACACGTAGCCAAAGAATTCTTAACAACGTTGTTAATGTTTTTGTTTGTTTGTTTTTAACTAGCACGTTCTTATTTTAACTTGTTATTACGTTAGTATTTGATCACTTCAGTGATTCTGGGTTTTGCAAAATGCTGCTTAATTGAAGCTCTGATTTAACTAATACACATAATATACTGTAAAAAGAGACCATCAAACAGTTTGTCCGTTATGTCAACCTGTTCTAATATAATCACATACTGTTTGTACGGATGCGTGTATTGTAAAACTTGATGGACGTCATTATGTGCACTATTTTAGTCTTAGATTATTACATAAAGGTAGTTGTGTAGGAAAGAGTTGAAAAGTGGGGTGCTTGGCTAGACATGCAGATTTTACAATGAGATATTGAAAGTATAAAGAGCTACTAAAAGCAGCTCCCGTGCTGCCTAAGACGGCTCAATCTGGAAAAGTGGGGGATGCCTCTGTAAAGGGGACAGCGTGGCCTAGTGATAAGTGTTCTGGTGTCGTAGTCGAAAGTTGCCAGTTCAAGGCTTGCTCGGCACACGATGTGCCCTTGAGTAAGGAACTTTACCTTTAGAAGCCGCAACGGAGGATAAGAAACGTTAGCACCTAGTTATAAAAAATGCATCTACTAATTATCAGACTTAGGTGATGGTATGATGCTGGTTGTCCACTATCATCGAGTATGACAGCCAAATATTTTCATTTCCAGCTATTTCGCCTCATCTCAACGTCTTAGTTCTATTTTTGCTCGGAATTGTCCTCCATACTCTGGGCACAGTAACTCAGCAGGAGATTACAACATAAAAGTTAGGACGGATATAGCCTAGAAGTTTCCTTTCGACTTTTTTATGTTTGCTCGCTATTAAGCACAATGCTACACAATGGGCTTTGTATGCTGTGTTTTCCACGGGTATCGAAATCAGTTTTTTGGAATTATAAGACTTACCTTTGAGTCACCGGGAAGCATCCTTCCAGCCTGAGGATGGGATGGTCCAATGATTGAAACCGCAATATGTCGCTAAACATGCTCCGCCCATTGATCAGTGAGCACAATATAAAAGTGACAGTCAATTCCGCTATTTGATTAAAGTAGCTATGTACCCGATAAGATATATTAATTGATTGCTATCCTTCTGATCAACAGTACTGAATTAGGACCGGTTCTAGTTGAATTGTGGGGGTCCCTGATATTGGATGTTTTGCCCATATGTTGCATGAAGTGTATTTTAGATTGAAGATACCGATACACAATCTCATCTAACCTAAATAAAAGCCAGTGTGTCATGTCGCGTATGATTTCTCAAAATAGGAGTCATAAAAGCCAAAACGCATTTATCCAGATAGAATAGTTCGATTACTGTCCGCCAATTACGATTTTAGTGACGGGGTGCAAGAGGTCGTGAGGAGGCGTGTGTGTGCGCCGTGAAACCTTATAAGTGTAGTGAGTATTGGTATAATAAGCCTAAAGTACAGACGTAGTGTGGGATCACCCAGCCTAGAGCCAAATTCATAAAATTTATCGTGAAAGTAAAAATATCGTTTTCAGTGTTAAACTTAACTCGTTTCTGTATTAAGCTATTTTATCCTATATCACCAACATTTTTAATAAAAAAAAAACCTCTTTGAGTACATAGACTAACAATAATATTAGGTTATTGTTCTGTTGTTGGAACGTAGTGTCACCAAAACGCACTGGCTTTTCTGTATATTAGAAGTTGTTAATCTAACTGATTTTTACTAATAATTATTCTATGAATACGCCACGAATTCATTTCATGAATTATCTTGATTTCGATTGGCTCACAAAGGACTGCCTCGATTGAACTTTTCTGCCTCTTTGTTGGTCAAGCTTGATTTCGCAAAATGTATTTATTTCAGTTAGCTATGAAATGTGGGGTTAGGGAATACTATGGGGTGGGGGTGGAAGTACTTGCTCAGTCATTTTTGACGGGCTATACGCCAGTATCTCATAACGAAATATGATTTACTCCTAATCTAATCTTTAAACACATTTAGCGGCATTCCGTTTCCAAATGTTATTTACTTGTAAGTGTTAAATTTCTTAATCTGTCTAGTTCTTTACTTTATTCAAACAGAAATACTTTATACATATCGTAACATAAGAAAAAAAAACGTCTAATTAAATTATTTTTATTCCATTTGTTCATTTGATAAAAGTGGAAATTCAGCAGTTAATATTCAGATGTTAGTCGTATTATTGTACTAAAGACGGAAATTTCTTGCTTCTCAATGCAGAAGTTGTGTTTCGTAAGAGAATCTTTGAGAAATACAACTGTTTAAAAATCGTGAAACGTACTAATTTACCGTTGATTTAGCATCGTTTTTGCGCCAAATACAATTCACCTACAACTTCGGGGATACGACGTTCTAGACTAGCGTTTCTCAAACTTGGTTCTTGGACCCCCAGGAGTCCACGAAGGTACTCCAGGGGGCTCACGAGTCATGTCCGAAATTTATAAAAAATATTTTACAAATATGATTTGTAACAAAGAAATATTATTTATAAAATCAAATTTATATGAATTAAACATGTAATTTTGAAATACAGCTTTTCATGTACATGGAATAGTTTTTTTTTTCAAAACAAAAACATCGATAGGTTTGGGGGGGCGTGGATAAATTTAAATTAAAAGGGGTCCTCGGGTTACTAACGTTTGAGAATCGCTGTAATCTAAACGATCTGTAGAAATAACCTTGAGCCAATAGAAGTACACTGGTGTTCACACTAAACACCAATCTGAATCCCTCACAGAGATTCATTAAAAAACGTGTAAAATCAGTAACTAAATAAACACAAACTGGCACAATTCCGCCCTTCCATGATACCATTATTAAGCCTAACGATGGCTTTATAAGAGTAGGAAGTTGCCATATAATGCTTGAACATGGTGTAAATCCGATTATTAAGTGTTAGTTATGGAGACCACGTTAATACCCCAGGAGAACAGCTCTATTAAAATATATTAAACAATCTTTATCGGCGGCAGTGTTGTATTAAATAAACAAAATGTTTCAATAGCCATTGGAAAAAGCAGTAGTGTTATTAGCTAAACCTACCATAAAACACTGTCAGCATGATGTTTTAACTTCGTTATATCTTCGATAAATATATATATATATATATATATACACACACATACAAATTCTGCTTCTACTTAACACCTGCCACACGAGACAGCCCAGCATCTTTTAGTACTGAGCCTAGGATGGTCAAGACCGGGGTCATTCCGGAAACCAGTGATTTATGGTTATTTCTAGAACGAAAAAGAAACTAAATATTAATAAATATGTGACATGATGAAACCTATATGGATTATACTATGGTGGTACCAGACTGGGCATTATATTTAATTTTAATTACAGAAATGACATTTTTAATTTGAAAATCTCTAGGGAAATCATCTTGTAATGCATCGTGCATCTGCTTCAATTTCAACACTGCATCTTTGAGCTTTGCTGTGCCGTTAGTTTCACAAGATATTGAAATTAATGATATATTATATGTGATTCCAATCTCCCTTTTTGAAGATAACGATGCTATTGTGCCCGTTGTTTTATGTTTTGCTGACAATACAGTAATCAATTGACAATCTCCGATTCAGTTGGTATGTCAAATCAGTTGGGATATCTTCCAATAATTTCTTCCTTCAACCGACCCACAGTTTAGCTTCACTGCTACATTTAAACCATCACATTCACAACCAAATCTAGAACATTTCAAGCATGTTTCATTGAGACATCGTTTTAATTTACATTTACAAATTAACTTCTCTATGTTGGCTCTCATGGTCTTGGGTCAGGTCTCGAAAATAGTGGCAAAAAGTCTTATTTTTGTCTAATCAAAACAACCTAAACCTTTCCTCTTTTTTTTTTTACCCACATCAAGATGCTGGGCTGTATCGTGTGGCAGGTATTAATTACAATTTAACTAAAGAAATGCCTAATTTTTTTAGGATTAGTTCTTATTCAGGAACTGCTAGTTTCTGAAACGTTTACTTCTTTTGGACTTAACGTTTTCAAAAATTACTAAATGCATTTGAATTAAAACAAAACAAGAATTAAAAGAACTAAAGTAGACTTTCTAAGTGGACAAGAATGTTTTAACCCTCTTATTATGCTTCGGGTCTCTTTGACCCGTTACTGGTTTCCGTAATGTTATAATGAAATTAAATATATCTTTTTTGTTTATTATAATGCAAATTTAGATATTAAACTCTCGACCAGTTTGATCCCTCCTTCTAAAGCTCTTCTGAAGCTTCTCTTATGATATATATTCATAAGACGTTTGGTTGTTTATTATTAAGCACAAAGCTACTCCCACATCTTGTGCTGGACAGAATTCAACGCTTTGGTGTAAATATACTCTATGAAACACGGGTATAATCGTCTCGCATGTTCTTTAAACTTGTCCATGACCACTCTAAGTTCCAACATTTAGTTCCTTGTTCTCTCTTCTTCCTTAAAACATGCACGCTCTTCCAGTATCCTCCTCTAATGATATTTACAATTTTATCTATTAATATTTAAAGTACATTTTTAGTTGCATTCGAAATCAAGCTACCTGTTCTGTAATTTTCACAAATTTTAAGTCCCTGTTTTTTTTGGTATTGGCACAATATCCCCTAACGTCCAATATTCAGACATTGAAAAATGTATTATTTCTTAATATACAGTAAAATATTTTACGGCTAAATATTAGTTTTGAAATAAGGAGACAGTAAAATTTTAAAGTAAGAGTTTTTTTGTCAGTCCCTTAGTAATTTAAAATTGAAAATATAAATTTTTCTAAAACAAAAAACATTATACATTCGGAAGTTCGTTTTTTTACGATGCTAAATGTTTGTGCTGTTATGACATACTAAACATATGTAAATTTCGTAACTCACAAGGGATATAATAAATTATTATATATAAATATTTTACCGTGTCTTAACTTATAAGTATATATACATACATATTTTACTGGTCTAGGCAATATAAATAATTGAACGGCCCTGTATTCCACACCTTGTGTGTCTGTTTAATTTTAATGCAAATTAATATTTATATAATCATGTACATGAATACATAATGATTTCAGACTTGGGTATAAAGTGTTATATATACGATAACATAGAAGTAGCAAACATACATACATGACTACCAAATACATGATTATGTAATCCTTACACTCATGTACACATTAACTATTGAACTATATATTTTTACACTCGTATAATTATACAGTTATACTTGTCACATTATTATCACATTAATTTTTATTTACAGTTAGATGTACGTACCTCCAACTTTCCATATGTATTTATCGAATGTATCAAACATATAATTATTTTTATAGTTTAGCTACATAAAATCTTAACATGTAGTTTAAAAAGAAAGAAAGAAAAACTACAAATTCAATTTAACTGTAGAATCCTGGTATGTTTTGTTACGTAACTAACTATTATATTAAATCAGTCCGGAAGAAAGTTACTTTGTCCACTTTCAGTTTCGCTCAGTAAATCTGCTAAATAAGTTTCAAGTTCACCTTAATGAATTCGTTTGTTTGTTGAATTTCGTGCAAAGCTACTCGAGGGCTATCTGCACTACTCGTCCCTAATATTGAACTGTTAGATTAGAGGGAAGGCAACTTAGTCAATACCACCCCACGCAAACTCTTGGGCTACTCTTTACAAACAAAAAGTGAGACTGATTGTCACATTGAAAGGGTTAGCATTTTCGGTACCGGGTTTGGATCCCATGACCCGCAGATTTGCAGTTGAGCACCCTAACCACCAGGTCATGCCAAGCTCCTTAATCAGTTTATATTAAATACTTGCATTACGATACACAGCCAGTAAATACAATGTAACGAATTACATCTCTATAAACATGGTGCATCGTTTTCCTAATCATTGCTATGCCAACAGTAAATAATGAAAAACGACTTACAAGGTAGATTCCTCTCCATCATTAATATAATATTCCAACTGACTGAAGTCAAGTGCCTCGTTGTCAATTCCTCCAAAGTCGCCAAGCCCTATAAAAATAAAACCATAAGATTCAAGCGTTTTATTAAGAAGGGGAAGACCTAGTCATAATTCTTCATTAGATATATGTTACTCATTAAGTTGTATATTATCACAGAAACACGTTTCTATCTAAGACTACTAGGTGAAATCAATTATATCTACATCAAGGTCAGTAAGAGTAAGTGAAAATATACGCAGAAAAAGCAAACAGTAGATAGCTTTCCTAAGTGTTAGTTCATGGTGAAGACTACAT